TTTCTTTTTTTTTTTTTGGAGAGATTTTCGCTATAGGGCACGTGCGCTCGCCAGAAATCACCCCCCAGAGGGGATGGCACCCCGCAATCCCTTCTCCTCCATTCTCCTCTAGGGATCTTGGGCACGCACGCACACGCGCCCGGTGTGGGTTTTAAGTCACAGGGTCTGGGACGCGAACCATGGTCGACTACGTGGGAGTCCAGCGACATAGCCATTACGCTAACTGCTGGTCCCAGTCTAGGAACCTTAGAAAATAGGTTCTCTGGGCTGGTAGGTGGCATGGAGGTTAAAGGTCTTGGACTCCCACATGGCTGACTGTGGTTCAAGTCTCCCAGACCTGGTGGCTTGCTTTCTCACTTTCCCTTTCTATCTGGTCAAATTAAAAAATAATAATAACAAATGGAATTAAATAAATGATAATTTAAAACAGAAAATACATTTCCCTTTTGGTTCAACCCTTATTCATTTTCAGTTTGGGAAATTCTCACTTTTTCTTTAACAGAAGGGGAAACTGAGGACACATCCTTTTAAGGGGATCCCCGCTCAATTTCATTATGAGGCTTAGATGAGGGAATGTATATAAAAGAATTAGCAGAGTGCTTAGTTTAAGGGGTAGAGAAAAGGCAGTTATAATATCAATAATGATCATTATTTTTTAAAGAATTATTTTATTTAACTTTATTTATTTATTTACTTATTTTAAATTCGACCAGAGAGAGACAAAGCGAGAGAGAGAGAATGAGAAAGATGGAGTGAAAGTGAGAAAGACAGCCGCCAAGTCCAGGACTCGAACTGTGGTTGACCATGGGGGAGTCCAGTGCCCTTAACCACCATGCCATCTGTCAGCTCCACAGAGAGCTATTAATTGCTTTAAAAATACTCAGTGACATATTGGATGTTAGAAAAGAGAATGACATTATGGCTTCTTCTGCAGATGGGGGAATGAGGTAGGAGACAGGAACCCTAAAAATATAGTTAGGGTATAGGCCCAAAATGGAATCACAAAATGGCTAAGTTTTGAGATGGAGGCAGTGTTGGCTTAGTGATTGACTTAGGCAACATGACCTAGACCTAAAGCAAAGGCTTTTTCCAGCCCCCACCACATTCCAGGAAGAAGATAAGATAATGGTTTTCATGGCCCAAAGCTTCAAGACAAAGAATCTCCTGACTTTGGTACCCATTTCAAAATTAAGAAAAAAAATTGGACCCATCCAGCACGTGCCCCTCCCTACCAATAGGGAAATGTATGCTCAAGTGTCACCTAGAACTTAAGTCCGGACAAAGCCCCTCCTGACCCAGATAAAAATCCCTTGCTGCAGTTCTTCCTTGGCAACCCACTTTCCGGGAGGCCTCCCTTTTTGTGAGCTCTGTTTTTCCTTCTCCTTTAATAAACTCCCTGCTTTGTTAATAAATTCTCTGCTTTGCTAATAAACTCCCCACTTTGCTATATCTACTCTCTGTGTCCACGACTCTAATTCTTCCTGAGTGTGGGACAAGAACCCGTGTCTCACTGCAAATGTGGGCTCGATCACCCCTGCGCCCCCATGTTCCTGCATCGTAAGTAATCAAAGTGATAGTGATGAGTACGAGGAATTGGATAATGGTAGCGGTAATGATAACAGAGAAATGAATGTTTCTACTGCCCCAAGTCCAGGACTTGGGCTCTGGGCTACCATTGCACCATAAACGCAGGCCTGTAAGTACTTACTACTAAATAATTACAAATTATATTTCTTCATTTAAATTTGGCTACCAAGTATTGTTCTAGATTTTCCTTCATCATAATCCAAACTTATCTTTAAAATACTTTAAGCCCTTAATATAATTGAGATTTATATTAATTTTTATTTATAAAGTTGTGAAAGCTAGAACTGACTTGGTAGCTGCGGAGACCAGGCGGTTCTGAACAAACATGGTGACCTTCAGACTTATGCAGGAACCCATTTCTTGAGCTTCATTTGCATAGCTATGAAAGCATTAAAATACGAATATGCTAACTGCGGATACTGCAAAGCAATATCTGTCTAAGGAAGTCACATGTGTTATTCAGATTTCACCCAAAAGGATCAGAAAAAATCAAAAGGAGCCAGCCTTTTTTTCCCCCACAACATCAGCCAATTAACATCTGAAAACAACTGGCTTTGCATTCCATTTCCTCTTTCCCCATTTTCTGCCCTACAGAATAGGAAACCAGAGGCTGGTTTGAGATCTTGGCTTTCTCCATCAGAGAAGTTGGCTGTACCTGATCATCCCTTTTCTATACTTGTGTATCTTTGTGTGTTTGTGTTTACATTTATTTCTAATCCACAGCCTCCCTCTCAACTCAGAAAAACGTGTTCTGCTGAGCGGGCTCGGCAGGTGGTACAGTGGTAATATGCTATTCAAGTGAGTTCAGTTCCCCAGTCAGCCTGTACAAGTCAGATTTGCACACCTGTGATTCTAGCTGACTGGGAGGACTCATGGAGATTATGGGGCGAGTACTTACTATTCTCTTTTACTCTCATAAATAAACTTTCAAAAATTTACAGGAGGGGCCAGCATGTGGTGTGGTGGTTAAGGGTGCTAGACTCCCACATGGCCAACCATGGTTTGAGTCCCGGACCTGGTAGCTTGCTTTCTCTCTTTCTCCCTCTGTCCCACTCTGGTCATATTAAAATAAATAAATAACGTTAAAATAAAATAATTTTTTAAAAAAGTTCTGGGACCCAGATTCCACACCTGCCAATCATGGTTCAAGCCCTGACCCCAGTGGCTTGAAAAACATACTGGTACTGAAACAGAGCAAGAACCCCCTAATGTATTTTCTAGGGTTCCTGAAATATAAAGTCCATTTGCATTGGAATGGCCCAGAGTAAGGAGTAAGTCTTCAGACTTTGGTTATGATAATGACCAACAGGAACCATGAGTGAGGGCCATTAGACCTCTAAAACTCTCACTTAAAGGAAAGAAGGTTTTCATTTCAATTTGTAAGATGTTTTGTAGACTGGAAACTGCTGGTTGTGAGCTCAGAGACTCCAGGCTGATGGTTCCAGACACCTGAAGAGGAATTTGATTATCTTAGGCCTCACCAATCAAGAATGCCCTCGATCTGATCACGCCCTCTTAAACCAATCACTGAACTGATCATGCGCCTGGGACCTCTGCCCCTAATTTTGCCCTTAAAAATGCATGTGGGGAACATCTCAGGGAGACCAGGTCTTTTCAGCATAAGCTGCCTGCTCCCCTTGCTTTGCGCTTTGCAATAAAGCTGTACTTTCCTTCATCACACCATGTGCCTATAGCTTGGTTTTATAGCGCTTGGGTGAGCGAACCTGATTTGAGTTTGTAACAGTACATGTGCCTGCATGACCAAAATTCCAACAGGATGGGAAAATGGAGGAAGGGGGACTGCAGTGGGACTGCACCCTTTGGCGGGAGTTCTTTTCCTTTCCTTTTCTCTGTCTGTTTCGCTGGTGAGCACACGTATGCTCTGGCAATTGAAGGAATCTTTTTTTAATCTTAAAAATACTAAGAAGTTATGAAAGATAGTGTGAAAGTCAAAAGTGTGCAAACCATAAATATTTCCCTTGGACCTTGAATTGTATTAAATAATACAATAAGCTTCATACTATTTGACATTGAAATGTAGATTCTTTTGACACCCTGGTTCTTGAGTTGTAGAAATCTAAGGAAGAACTACATTTTCTATCAAAAATGTGATTTTAAAAAAGGCAGAATGGTAGCTATTAAAAAGCCATCGAGCAGGCAGCATGAATATTTGAAAGATTATAAAGTCTAACCCAGCTATCTGGCAGGGAAATACTCTTTTTTAAACTCTAAAGTTTTTGTGCAGAATAAAATCATTGAAAAATCTCTTAAAAGTACATATACTAAGATATACATATACATCTCATAAAACAGATGATATTCACCCTGAATTATCCTTTGTGATGACCCTAACATAGAATGATTGCCCTCTTGGAGAGCTAAAGGATGGTTTTCGTTGCATTAAATGGCTCCATAAAGCTATACCTTCTTAATTCTTGTGTCTGCTTTTTATAGATTTTTTTTAAAAGAGGTTTTTGCTTTAGGGCACGTTCTCTCACTGGAGAGAGAGAGAAAAACAGAT